GTGTAAGGCGCAATCTGCAAATTCAGCTATCAAAGGTAAATACCAAATATTGTGAAACTACTCATTCACAAATGATGCAGCATTAAAAATATGCAATTTAAATATGCAACTAAAGTTTTTGCTACTGTTAATAAGAACTAGACTAACACCATTTTCTAGTGTCAATTAAAATAGACCCATTGAATCAATTAGGTACAGTATATACTCATGTATAAGTCTAGAAATTTAGGTTAAAAACTGACCCCAAAAAACTGAGTCAACTTATTCACAGGTCAATGTAAGTACTGTATCTTAACTCTTATTTAAAAGGCGGAACCATCCCCTGGTGAAAGGCAAGAGTATAATCTATCCTGGAAGCACCAATCCCCTCTATTCTCTCATCCATCTCATCTCCCAACCTTAAGAGTGAGCACAAAGAGTTATGTATGCTGGAATTTTGTAAGTTCTTTGACATTGTTTTGCTTTGCTTCATCCTTTTGATCCTTTGCTATATGCCCCTAAGTTTTACCCTTAACTTATCCATGGGTCATATCAAAACCCATAATTTCAGCCCCAAAACTTGCTCTCAACATATACATGAGGTCGACTTATAGTCAAGTATATATGATAAGTCAATACTTAAATAATTTAATTTAGTAAATCTAATTTAAATGGAACTAGTAGCTGGATTTAAGCCCAAATGTTCAGTATTTTTTTAAAGTATTTCTTGTATAAACCTAATTACATAGAAGCATATTGTTGATGTTCTCATATCAAAATTAGGTCAGATGGCAGGCATCATAAAGGATTTCCAGTGTTGGTGTTACAGTGGAATAGGCTCTGTCTGATCAGCGCATTTGGTAGGATATTGACCAGAGCCTTACCTGATCATTGGAGAGACAGGGTATGATGCACATGCATCTAAGTCCAGTATCTGTCATGTTTTGTTCTGTAAGTGCTTCATTTTGGGATTTTTGATAACCTCCCTCTTTAAATCAAGCATTCATTCATCAAGTCAAACATTCATTAAATCAAGTCTCATTCATGAAACAGAATTTCCTCAGTATCAGGTCTAAAGGCTTTGCATTGTTTTCCAATTACTGTCCTACTCTTCCTTCTCTTATCTGAGCCCGTCTTTCTTCATACTGACTTTATTCCATAGTAGGAGTACACCCATTCAATACTGACAACATTAATTTTGGAGACTAATTTCCTTTGTTTGTTTATTAGCCAAGAAAACCCCATGGCAGGTTTGCCTTGGGGTCACCATAAGTCAGAAACAATTTGAAGGTACACAACTACAAATATTGTAACAGAAATAGGAACCTTATATGTCCATCTCAAGCTCCACCTCTTCCCCTTTCACCATTACTGTAGTTAACTGCCATCAAGTCAAGATATAGAAACCCTGTGAATGAGAGACCTCTAAGTCACTCTATAATCATCAGCCCTGCTCAGGTCTTGCAGACGTGGGGCCATGGTTCTTTTTATTAAGGCTATCCACCTGTAATGTGGCCTTTTGTCAATCACCTTTTCTCGTGAGTCATGTCTTCTTACAATATGTTCAAAGTATGACAGTTTCAGTTTAGTCATCTTAGCTTCTAGGGAAATTTTTTAGAGAGATTAATGCAATGGTCCTGATGTCCCTGGTATCCCCATTCTGGGGGTCTGGAATGTATATTGAGGGTTTTCAATCTGTGCATCATCCTCTTACTTTCCATATTTGTTAACAGATTTCGGTTAGAACTTGAGTAGATTCTCTCTCTGTAGCTTGAAGCAGGTCTCTTGGTATGCCATCTGTTCCTGGTGATTTATTTCTTTCAAGTGCTCAGAGTCCACTTTCTAAACCCTGACTTGAGAAACCCTAACCTTGCATACAGCAACAACCTCTTAATATACTTGAGTCTCAGCTATTGTTTAGTGATTTTCATAGATGACTATGTGTGCAAAACAGAAAAAGAATTCTCTCATAACATTTCATTTGTTTGTATAACCGCTGCTTAGCATACATGTTTAACGTATCTCCACTCTAAATACATCACTGAACCAAAGGAGTCTGTCTCTTTTTGACCTGTATTTTCCTCGCTCCTCTTCCCCCTGCCTTTTCCCTCTTGTATACCTAGCATCATCGGCAATGTGTGGCCTACTTTACAGACCAGAGCCTTCTATTTGAAGGGCTGACAAGGGATTGGTAGGGCCATCCAATCCTTACATTAGCAGCATCTGGAAGTCAGACTGGACATGCATTCAATTCACCTAGTGAGTCTTTTCTGCTGTCATGAGATGCACTGTATTTCTACTTTACATTTTGGCCATCATATCTAAATATGCATGTACAGATATATTAACATATGCGCTACCTATGCATACTGTATCTCGCTTCTTTTTAGTGCAATGAGTAAAAGACCATTCTAATATCTCCCTACCCATCTCTTTGCCTCCCATTTCTGACTCTGTCTTTCACAAACTCTGTTTCTCTCTCTCTCTCTCTGCTTCCTTTTCCAAATCTTTCTCGCTTGCATATCTCTGCCCCAATTGCCTCCCTATTGCATACACTGTTTATGGCCAAGCTATACTGCTACAAGCATAATACAGATACTGGAGATGAGTCCACTTTATTTTGGAGTTTCTTTGGTGAAGCAGATGCCTTTAATGTCAGTTTGGCCCAGATCTTTCATAAGGGATCACCTGTACTTGCACATTGTGAAATCCACATTGTGACATCCCTAAGAAGAAAGTGAATCAGCCAATGCTGATTGCTGCCTTAGTAATAGCAAATGATTTGCAACATAGATGGCAAAAGAGCAGGATAGTTATTCTTTATCTGCAGATACTCCTAAGGGCACTCCGTCCAAAAATATACATTCCTAAATGCAGAAGCTGCAGCTATTAAAAAAATACTGCTACTCTTTTATTAGCAGGAGTATGTGAAAGATAAACCCTGTTATTCAGGGGCTAGTAATAGTATAGCTGAACTTGCTGCCTATTCACTTGATTGAAGTGATTGAAGAGACTACAGCAGGCAACCTAAGGCCCGGGGGCTGGATGCGGCCCCCTG